TTGGGCACATGGTCAAAAGGTTGAGGTACCATGATTCTCTTGTAGGCACAGGTGCCATTTGAGATGGAAGTCGTCAGATATGAGCGTCAAAAATGAAAACTGAATACCTGTTCTGCAGTCGCTCTGTTCCAATCGCAGAATGCCTTTGGACACTGCAAAGAATCATTGCCAGCTGTAGATACAAATGCCGCTTGTGCAGCTTCTGTTCTGAGATCCCTTTTTGGACATCCACAAACAAACGGTGCAGGCTGGGGAAGAGCTGGCGACACTACGGACCCTTCAAACAGCACCTGTCACGTGTTTTATGCCATCCTTCCCCCAAGTAGCTCAGCACAGTACTTGTGGTTCTGTCTTTCATCATTTTATCCTTGTAACAACTCTGTGAGTTACGCTAACCTGAGAAGTCATGACTGGCCCATGTTCTCCGAACCGGCTTCATGGGTGAAACCTGGGTTTCCCAGATGCTAGTTTGATACTCTAACCCAGGGGTGTCAAACATGCGGCCCGAGGGCCAGATCAGGCCCCTGGGGGGCTTCTATCAGGCCCGCAGTGGAACTGGCTGTCCTCTGCTTCTTCTTCCAATTCTGCCACTGCTGCGTCATCGTAGGTTTGCAGCTTACAAATACACACCTGAGCAGCATACGCAAGATTGCAACAGCACAGACATTTTGATGCAATAATTCAGAGCAAGAGGTGTCAGTTATCAGACACTGTTAAATAAACAAAATATTGCAAGAGTACTATTGTTTTAAGCATCTTTTTATTTTAAGTTAAAAAAACACCTTTGTGTTTGTGTCCTTTATAAAGTTTATATCTCCGCTACCTGACATTAACATTTTATGACACACATGGCCCGGCCCAACAAGGTCTCATTTATGTCAGATCCGGCCCTCATAACAAATGAGTTCGACACCCCTGCTCTAACCACTATACTACATTGGTTTTCAGTGTGGGAGCTGCATTTGGGGGAGTCTCATCTTCATAGCTGGGGTGAATGTCCCATTTGGATGGGTGTGGCCAACTGCAAAAGTCTTTACCATAGATTTGTCACCTGCTGGAAGAGCTGCATACCAGTTGCATGGGAAAAACTCATATGACCAGGCTGTGTCCCACTTAGTTTATTTCTTTATTGGTTATTGTATTTGATTGAACCCGTCCTGAGCCTGCTATACAGGGAGGGTGGGATATAAATCCAACAAAATAAAAATAAATAAAGTAAAATTTAAACATCATGCCAGCCACGAGGAAGGTGCAAGGGCAAACTGGCTAGGGTGGCATTTGGAGCATCTATATATCTAGTAGCCAAGGCGCCCCCTGTGTGCGGATATCTAAATCTGCACATCAGGGGCACCTAGGGGGCAAAGAGATTTTCCTGCACATTTGGGGCAATCCCCAGATATGCAGAAAAATGTGAAATCTATAAAAAACTATAGGGGGGGTACTTAAATCCCCCCAAAAGTAAAGGCGCATTCCCTGCACACGCACACCTGATACGCAGGGAATGCACTCACCACTAGGAACTGTGGCAGAGCCGTGCAGGGCTTGCCGCTGTCACTGCTGCTGTCATCGTCGGCACCATGGGGAGGGAGGAGCCTTGGCGGGCCGGCAGCTGGGACCCACGGCCATTGCTGCCAGGGGGGAAGCCTGTCCAGCCCCGCAGCTAGGTGCCGCCAAAGGCTTGCCGCCATTGCTGCTGGCAGTGGTGGCGGGAGGGAGAAGCCTTGGAGGGCCAGCGCTGCAGACGTTGTTGCTGTTGGTGGGAAGCCTGGCGGCCCAGCAGCTAGGAGCACACAGGGCTCACAGCTGTTGCTGCTGGCGGCTGGGGTGGTGGTGGGGAGAAACCTTGGAGGGCCAGTGGCTAGAGCCACGGCCGTTGCTGCTGTCAAGTGGGGGGGAAGCCTTGCGAGCCCAGCGGACCGCCTGCTGGGTTCTCCTGTGGCCGCTGCCACCTCCTCGTCTGTGCGGAGCTCCTGCTGCTTCAGCAGGCCAGCAACCCGGGAGCCACGGGGAATACCCCTCTGCAAGTATCGTGGGTCCCGCTTCTTGTCCTTTTATAAAGCTCAAAGCAACTATAATAATGCATTTCTCGGCTACACAAAAGCTTAGGATCACAAATGCTGGAAATCGGATAAAATACCAGGTAGAGAAGTATTAATTACTAAAATTATGGAAATAAAATAAATATGATATTGTTGGGAAAAGAAGAAAATGTGTTTAAAAAAAGATGGCAGAAAGTAGATAGATGGATGGAAAAAAATGTGTAAAGGAAACTCCAAAAGTATGTTGTATATTAAGATTCTTTTGCATTTTTGTTATGGAAAATAGATAAAACTATATTTTAAAAAAAGCTTAGGATCAGACTAAAACGGTGCTGTGTGAGGATTGGCTGAAGTTTCCTATGTAATTTTATGCAGCCCTTGGACTGACCTGGTGGTTTGCATGCTTGGAGCCTTCCCTTCACAGCATCACTTAGCAAGTGCTCCTTGGCACCTCTCAGTGTTCCATAAATCCATTCTCTATGGAAATGTGTTCTCATAGTTAAAAACCTCATTGTTTGAAAATGGTAGCACAAGTCGCACAGCCAGCCCTTGGACTATTGTTATTTAAGGCTTTCAAACTATTTATCCATTCTTTTCTGTATATCTAGGAACCTTTTGAACACTTGTCTTTTGAAATGGTCTATAATGAAGAATGCCAAGCTGCTGGGAACCTGCATTTGCCCTCCAAAGCTCAAATAGATTTCTTAAAGTCCAATATGTTTCTCATGGTGGGAAAAGCACACTGAAGGCCAAACTACATGGCCCATGACGGGAACTTCAGATGTGTGATTCGACCACGATGAGCAGCTGTGAGGACCAAACTAGATGAGATAACATCTCCAGGTCCACCCCAGGGAAACTGCTACCATTTAAAAGCCTAGCTGTTGGCCCTTTAAAAATACCACAAGAACAGTGGACGAAGTACTCTTGCCCCCCTACATCTTTTCAAGTACCAAAGTGCCCCCCCCCCCAGTGTCTGCTCTACCACTTGAAAAAGAGAGGGGGGACAGAAACGTTGTCTCGTGGCACTGCCCTCATCGTATTTTTAAATGGCCAACTCTTAGCCTTTTAACTGGTGGCAGCGTCCCCAGGATTGGCCCAGGGACATCATCACGACTAGTGCTGCCCTGAGACTGGGGCCGTCCGTGTTGCAGTGCTGGAAAAGGGGGAGGCTTATCCAGGGGTCATTTTGTAGAAAAAGAGGTGCAGGAGCTCATTAGCATAACTCATTAGCATAACTTATTTGCATGTGCCACACACCCTGACATCACCGGAAGTGTGTCAGCAGGCAACACCCACCGCTCAGGCTCCACTGGACTGTTTTGGATTGCTAGCTGTTGGGGGGGTGGAACATGCAGATCTGTCCTCACAGAGGAGGGAGAGCTTGTACCTGAATAAAACTTGGTCTTTAAGGTGCCACTGGACTGTTTTGGGCCGGGGGGGGGGGCTCTGCAGCTTACCTGGCTGCTTCTTACTCTGACTGAGGGCTGCTGGGAGCAGGGGGTGGGGCTTGTTGCATGTACCCGCCCCCTGGGCTCTTTACTGTCGGAGCTTTGCTCCTGTGCGCTCCTGCAGGAAATTACCCCTGGGCGTATCTCTTCTCTCACACATTGTCTGCAGTCACACACACAAAATGATCCACTTTCAGGGCTCTTTCCAGCTGGATTTTGCCAGTTCCCACAGTACATTCCAGTTGGGAAGTGCACTTAAAGTGGATTGAAAGTGAATTATTCAGTGTGTGTGACCGCAGCCATTGTTTCCCTTTTCAGTCGTGTTCCCTCATGCCTTTGAAGCCCAGGTGCAGAAAAAAGACTGGAATCCTTATTCTATCTCTTTTTTTCCTGCAGAGACTTAAAGCTATTAAAGGAGAGTGCTTTATGTTTCAGTGTGTGGGGGGGATAGCAGATAGTTCAGGCATAGAGACAGCAGGAGTTAACGTCCCCTTCCCTAGCTTAGTGGACTGAGTCAGAGTCCCCCTCTCCTGGCCTCCTTTTTTAGAGAGGGACAGACTATGTTTCCCCAGTTCCTCTCTCAGAACGCCAGCCTTGCGTGTTATTTTGGACCAAAGATTATATCCTGCTTTGAATGTAGCGCCAGAAAAGCAGTAAAGAAGTATTTTAAATAAATAAACACTCTCCCACTTATTTTATGGAAAAGACCGTGAAGGAGCCAAAATGATGGTTTTAATAGTTTTTAATAATACAGCCAGCGCTGTTTCCGTACACGTGAAAGAGATGATAAACTGCAGTACACACACACACACAACCTTTATTGGCATTGAAAGCTCAAAACGTCATGGAAATGCGGGAAAATACTAAGATGCAGCGGTCACTGACACTTGGCTATTCAAGCCTCGTCTTTTGATTGCATAATATAAAAATTTTGCAACAGCCTCCATTATTTCGCAATTAGAATTAAACAGAAGAAAGTGAACCACTGAGTCATCAGAGTGCCAGCTCTTACCCTCTAGAAATGGAGTAATAAAACGAGATCAGATATCCCTATAGAGGGGGCAATGAAGTCTGGTGTGTGTAGTGGATTCTATATCTTTTAGAAAGCAAGGACAAAGTCTGTCTACATATGGTATCTAGTGGTACCGCCCTAAAAGCCCCCCCGATGGCAGAACATTAAAGCGTGCAAGCATGTATGCTCTGCGATGGTGTGGGGCTGTTAAACTTGACAGATATTTTGCAATAGAGCCCGTGTCAAAAGTCCCCAGCCTACTTGGGGAGCATCTGCTGGTTGCGCGTTCCCTAAGTTCTTGCCTTTCGATGTCGAGAAATCTTTGTTTAATAATAGCATAGGCTTGTTTATCTGAAAAGGGGGCTAAATAATCCGGGGATATTCCCACTGTAGATAAACTGCAGTATTTGTTTCTTCTTCTTTGTGTGGCAGATGATAACCTGTCTTTCCCCCCCTCTTACAACATGGCTCTCTTGTCTTTTTTCTTCCCCCCTGTAGGCACTTCCTATTTAAACACGGATCTGGTTCTTCAGCTATCTTCAGTGCAGCCAGCCAGAACTATCCTTTAACCTCCAATACTGTTTACTCGCCACCTCCTAGGCCTCTTCCTAGAAGTACTTTCTCTAGACCGGCTTTCTCTTTTCACAAACCTTACCGATGTTGCAACTGGAAGTGCACTGCGTTGAGCGCCACGGCGATCACAGTCACGCTGGCCCTGTTGCTTGCCTATGTGATTGGTAAGCTTTGTGTTTCCTTTCCTTTCTATCCAGTCCTCCTCTCTCTGTGTCTCTGTCTCTCTCTCACACACATTATCCATTCACTTTAATGAGGATTTGAGGGGTTGGTTTAAATATGTGGGATCCAAAAGCTGTGGAACAGTTGGTAGGCTATCGTATTTTTTAAAAAATCATGTCTGGGTGAGGGAAGAGATTAGGGTTGCCAGGTCTGGGTTGGGAAATACCTGGAGACTTTGGGGGTGGATCCGGGAGAGGGCGGGGTTTGAAGAGGGGAGGGGCCTCAGCATGGTACAGTGCCACAGGGTCCACCCTCCAAAGCAGCCATTTTCTCCAGGGGAGCTGATCTCTGTCAGCTGGAGATCAGTTGTAAAAGTGGGAGATCTCCAGGCCCCACCTGGGGATTGGCAGCCCTAGGAGAGATTGAAAAGTAGAGATGTATCCTCATCCTTGCCCTGTACGACGTCTGCCTAGTCCCATTCTTTGTCTTAAAGAGAACGGAGGAGTTTAGGGGAGGAAAGATGGCTAAGAACCAGTATGATGAAGTGTTTAGTATCTGACGAGGATCTGGGAGGCCAAGGGTTGAATCCTCACTCTGCCCTGGAAGCCCACTGGATGACTTTGAGCCACTCACTCTCCCTCAGCCTAACTTACCTCACAGCACCGTTGTTGTGAGGAGGAAAAAAGAGGGGACAGTGAGGTGTTTTGTGGAAAAAGTGGGATATAATTAAATGAATAATAGAGAGGCAGGATAAGCCACTCTAGGGCCCCGGTCACACGACAAAGTTGCCGCAGGAGAGGCACGGATGGTGGGCGGATTATCCGGGCGTGATCACACCCCAACATCTGGGAAGTGGAGTGCACCCGTGGCTTACCGCTGAAAATGCGCCTTAAAAAAGTAGTACCTCCAAGGTACTAGTAAACGTTTGCCGCAGGCTGCCTCCAGACGCCTGTGGTGTGATCGCGCCCGGCGCGCGGCATTCCCCTCCTGTCCCTTGTTTACTCGCCGGCGCCAAGGGAAGGACCTGTGGTGTGCCGCTGGTGCGTCTGATCACGTAATCGCGCATCAAACTGCTCTGGGGCAATTAGCCACGCCTCCCCCCGCGATATCCGGCCTGTGTGACCGGGGCCTAGGAACAGTTTGGAGAACAGAGAGATGATGTTCTCTGACAGTCCTGAAACTTCTAGGCATCCAGTGAAGTTGATTGGTAGTAGCTTGGAGGCAGGCAAAACAGTTATTTTGTGTAGCGCATGGCTTGTGGAAATCACTGCCGCAAGACATGGTCGTGGCTGTTCTCCGAAATGGATTTTGAAAGAAAAGGTTCAACAGATTCGCAGGGGATAGGTCTGCGGTGGAGCCTCCGAGTTCAGAAGCAATAACTGTAGGGATAGGTCTACGGTGGAGCCTCCGAGTTCAGAAGCAATAACAACAGTGGATGTCGACCGCCTTCATGCGCTGCTCGTGGTTCTTAACCAAAGGACCATTGTTCCTAAGGTCCATGTTTGCATTAGCAGAAGACTTCCACAGGGTTTAATTGTTGTTAATTCTCCAGTTTCTGCTAAATTGGGCCATGCCCAACACCTCATGCATTTATTGCACTAAAATTATATTATGTAGCCATAGGGCTGCCAAATGCCCCCGGGGGGCGGATTTCCCCCCCGCTTTCAAGCCCCGATTCCCGCTCCCGTGGAATCGGGGCCCAGGGGAAACCCCACCCCCGCGTGCGCGTCACCCGGAAGTGACGTCGCATGCTGGGGGCGGAGCCACGCCATTTGAGGGGGAAACAAAGAGTTTTCCCCTCAAATGGTGTAGCCCCGCCCCCAGCGTGCGACGTCACTTCTGGGTGACGCGCACACGGCACGCGCGCTACGCGCACGCAACAGATGCCAGCCAGGAGCCCCCCGCTCCCGGCCGATTCACATTTGGCAACCCTATGTAGCCATGTTGGTTGGATGTTGTTTTGCCAGCAGGTTTTAGGCTGTTTTCCTGTTTGTAAAAGCTTACCAAACAAAGTAGAAGAAGAAGAAGAAGAAGAGATTGGATTTATACCCCGCCCTTCACTACCCAAAGGTGTCTCAGAGCGGCTTACAGACTCCTTTCCCTTCCCCTCCCCACAACAGACACCCTGTGAGGTGGGTGGGGCTGAGAGAACTCTGACACAAACTGCTCTTTTTCAAGGACAGCTGTGCCAGAGCTTGTGACTGACCCAAGGTCACATCAGCAGGTGCAAGTGGAGGAGTGGGGAATCAAACCTGGTTCTCCCAGATTAGAGTCCGCACACTTAACCACTACACCAATGCACAGGGCTTTATCCTAGCCAGGCAAACAAAAACAAACACCCGACAGGAGAAAGAGGGGGAAAGGTCTCTTTCCTGTTTTCCAAAAGAACAAAACCAAAATTCAAAACAAAAGACTTCAGGTAGAACTGCCACCAGGCCCCTCATTAAGCAGTTCCCAACAGCCCAGGAGGAAGGGGACCGAAAGCTCCTGTCTGGTTCTGGAACTTACACAGCAAAACAAACCTGCAGACTAAAGCTGCAGCTCAAAACTCAAAAGGAGACAAAAAGGCTTTCTAGTAGGGAGTGGTCCAAAAAGGTCTAGGCAAACAGGATTTAGGCTTTGAGACTTAGTAACCCAAAGAACACACAGAATTATCGAAGTAAAATATTTTCTAGTTTATTTAGGTGCAGGAAAACACAAGACAAGACAGCGTAGGTGAAAATAACAAACTCTTAGCTTATCCAGCCTAACTGAAACATAAGGCACTAATACAGCATTACCTTTCCCCAAAGACGAAGTTGCAGTTGATCAGCATACGAAGTAGTCACTTTTTAGCCCATCCAGGCATAAGCAAACTGGAATGCCATAGTTTGGGGCACTGAACTACTGGACCATACTAGGCTCAGTAGTCACAGCCCCAATGCGGATTGCCACTGGTACTAATGACAAATTATGTCTCTAGCTCCAGGCAACCAGAACCATAACTCGAGTGGAGTGGATTTTTATGGTGGGTCAGTAAGGTGATGGCAACCCTCCGAGGTTACCATGTAACCGGTACCCCATAATATCCCATGCTAACCCATCAGAGGTCATTTCGGGGGGGATCACAGTTCCCCCGGGTGAGGTACGGGGGGCGGGGCACATGACGAAGCCCCGCCCCCTGCTTCCGGCCGCCCCGCTTCCAGCCCTCATTCAGCCAGGAGGAGGCAGGAGAAGAGGGAGGGTAAGTTGCTTCCTCCCTGCCTCTCCCCACCCCTGCCTGCCTGGGGCCAGGGAGGGCCTTCGCGGGGCTTCCTTGCACTCCCGCCGACCTTGCAGGTCCACCGCCGGGCCCCTCATGGGGCTCGGCAGTGGAGCTGCAAGGCCGGCGGTGGCGGCCGGGACCGTTGGGGGCGGGGTGTGTGGCCTTATGGCACACTTCCGGTGATGTCAGGGGGTGTGGCATATGCTAATGAGTTATGCTAATGAGTTCCCTTAGCTCTTTTTCTACGAAACGACCCCTGTAACCCATAATATTACAGCAGGGAGGAGGGAATCAAATGTCATCTGCAGCATAACTCTCCACCCGCCTACATGCAGGTGTTGCAGGGTTAATTGGCTGGAATGTGCCTAATGGTCAGCATCCCAGTCTCCTTATGAGCCACAGCTGGGAGCAATTTCTCCAAGGTTACTAAGTGCTCTCAGTGTTATCTCTGTTTCTGGGGAGAAGATCCACTCGTTTGTCACTCTGGAAGTTTTCACTACAGGCCCAGTACCAGGCCCGAACCAAGGGTTCACAAACACTAGCAATTAAGAAAAGCGTTTTCTTTACACCGTTCCTTTTACCTTCAATAGTGTGTGTGCATAAAACAGCAGGCTGAGGACTGCAGACTCGTGTACACCCCCCCCCCCAAAATAAGCACAAATCATGTGTAGCCCAAGAAATATCTTGCTTGCGTCATGTTGTTGCATTCTGGGACTTCACATGAGGATGTATGAAGGCTGCAGGAATACTAGGGCTGAATTGCAAGGAGGTTTTCCTGATTGGTCTTGACACTTTCCAGGTGACATTAAAAGGTGTTTGTGGGGGGGGGGGGGGCTGTAGGCTGTGACTCCATATATCTGTGAAGGGGCAGGCTCAGACCTGTGGCTTGTGTCTGGTTCACACATGGAGAACAATGAAGTGTTGGTAGAATGGGACTGCACCATTTCAGAATACAAGAGGGCAGTCATGGAAGATCACCCTATGCTCCCCTACGTTGGATGTGAAGGCAGTCTGGCTGTGACATCTGTCGCCACATTGATCGCCAGGGTTGATTTGGCCTGTCTCACTGGCTAGGTGGGTGTCCCCTTCTTCCCTCGCCACTCCATGCGCATCCCTCCTGAAGCTGCACATTCGGTGGACTATGACGACAGTCACAGATAGAAGGAGTGTACCCTGCTTTGGTCAAGGGTACACAACGTCTGTGCTCATCTGCTGAAACCTCCAAGCTCCCCTGTTAAAATAGTTCCTGCAAAAAGAACACCAGTACAACAAACCAAAGGAAAGGATAGATGCTTCCTCCCTTTCTATCTGTAAGGTCGATTGTTTGTTTCTTTTAAACACAAAGGAACATTCAAAGCTGGAAGCCACCACCTACTGTCTCAAGTTGTGCAGTCCTGTTTGGTGTAGTGCTTAGGAGCACAGACTCTAATCTGGGAGAACTGGGTTTTATTCCCCACTCCTCCACATGCAGCTGATGGGTGACCTTGCATCAGTTACAAGTTCTCTCAGAGCTCTCTCAGCCCCATCTACCTCACAGGGTGGCTGTTGTGAGGAGGGGAAGGGAAAGGAGATTGTAAGCCGCTCTGAGACTCTGAGTGAAGCATGAGGTATAAATCCAATCTCTTCTTCTTCCATTCCACCCCCTCAGGGCTCATTTCCCTGCATGTGTGAATCAAGGGCTATCAGTACTCAGTCTGAACATTGGGTCAGACAAAATCCCATGAGCGAAACAACACGTAAGAATCAAAGGGTCGTTGT